TAAATAACCTATCGATCTCCTTCGCTGTTTGTCCACAATATTTAGTGAATTCTGGTGTTCATAGTTCTTCCTTTTATCCCTATTTCTAATTAACTTAAAAAAGAGTGACAACAAGAAATTTAATTTGTCGATGCATTATTAGTATGCTGATGTTTTTTCTTCAGAAAAAAAAAGGGCATTGATAGGTATCACGCATACATTCATAGCGGCACAATAAGTGAATAACGAGCTTCCCGTGTAACATTTAAAGGTTTGATGATGTTTTAGGCATGCGCAAGATTGTTTTGGATATTTAAAGAAAATATAGCATTGAATTTGATGATGATGATGATGATGTTGTTGTTGTTATTTAATTTAAAAGCTGAAGAGTTTTTTGGACCTGCATGTCTCTTCTTCTTTTTTGCCTGAACCTACATATCTCTCCTAGCTACTGCAATTTCATGAAACAGAAGACATGGGTTACAAGAATTTCCACATGTTATTTATGAATAGGGTAATTGAGCAGAAGAAAAGTGAATGGGGTAATTGTCCAGGCCAGGATCGAGGAGGAGGATAACAACTGGAATTCGAGACACATCAACCCCGACTTTCTTTTTTCTCATATCACACTCAATCCCTTCAGAATTTGTCATTGTATTTCAATTCATTCTTATTTTTTTCACTGCACCCGAATATTAGTGAAAGGCGTACAAATTAAATAAAATGGTATTGATGTGTGAAAAAATTCTAGGCAAAGTAGCATGTACTTTTAGAAGGAACGAAGAAATCAGAGAGAAAATAAATCTTCTAGAAATGCAAAATGAAAAGGGAAAGAAAATGACTACATATGCATTGTTTATATAATAATAATATTATTATTTATAATAATTGTTGCCGCCAGAAAACATTTTCCTATTGATAGCGTGGTAATAATACCCATTTTATGCATTGAGAATGGTTTCTTAGAATTATGTGATGTTTAAGTTTTGATAAATGATGTTCTGCAGACTAAAGTAGCACAGATTAATGGTTTATAGTATAATGAGTTCATGTCAAAATTTCAAGATAAGATCCTCTCAAAAAGGTTGCTGCAGAAGATAATAAGACATGAAAGGGATATGACCATTGGTGCAGCAATTTTCTTGGATACAACACACTTGTGACTTCCATCTAGGAAAACAAAATCGAAACACCACGACGAGGGGACAGGTATCTTGATGGATGGAACATTATGGAGTAGTCAACTTCAATTAATGGGGAGATTGAGAAACTAACGTCAGATTTCAGATCTTCAATTATCAGTTTGCTTTCACATGGTATCCATATGTGGTGGAGGAAATAGTATGGGCTTTGGTTTGTATCATTTATTCTTGTCTTAATTTCTTAAAAGTTCCCGATAGAAGATAATATTTTTTGTTTTATTTGTTGTTGATCACGTAGTTAGAATTTTGTTGTCTATATTGTCCGCTTGCGGTGAGCACAAATAGAGAAGGGCCTCAATTGCAAAATTAGGAGTTACGAATGGGCTCAAACCTTTTGGTTTTCTTTTTTCTCTTTGCTTTGTATGCTTTGGGTCAAAACCTAATGCTCCAATCACTTAAAACTGCAATTTCATTTTCCAGAAACAAAACCAACCAAAAAAGGCCTAAACACTTTCTTCTTGATCGGCACATCTGGGTCCCTATCTATTTTATTTTTGACACGTTCTACCCAATTTATGATTACAGCCCAACGAACGTACAAGACAATGCGAAGAAGGCCATGCATACGTATGAATATTAACAAAAAGAAAGCCATGCATACGTAAGAGACATGGGGAATGAAAGTGAAGTGAGTCTCATTTTAGCTAGTCAGCCTGTTTTATACTACACAGCGTTCTTAAAAATAATTAAAAATAAGATAATTTAGAGAAAATACATAACCCTCTGCTTACATGGATTTTGGATATTATATTGTACAGCGTATTAAGACAGTAGTCTTAAGTTCCAAGCATTTGCTTAAAGATTCAGAATTTTTAAAGCACAAATTCTACCTTTTTTTTAAAAAAAAAATATTGATTCGCAAAACTGCTTCATTATGAGCATCTCTAACCCAATCAAAGTGGCTTGGCAAGCAAATATTACTTTTACATGTCCAATTTTCTGTATATTAATTACTTAGAGAAATCACCATTACCTTGTTTATTTTTTTGTGTTGATGCTAATCTCTAGCATACCTAAATTAATGTCATAATTTTATTTACTTGCATGTAGTGTTATGTTGTATTACACGGCTTGAAGTTTTGCTTTCGGTGCCTTTTTGCCCCCAGAGTCAAAAAGTGAGTGATTCCTCTCCCAACTCCCTATCTTCTCTCGTACGGAAGTGCTAACTAGGAGGAATTACTGGAGCTAAGGAAAAAACCGTGTTAATCCACAACCCTAATTCTTGTGGCTAGTGTTGGGGGCGATTCAGCTGGGCAGCGTAGGAGGCGCCATTTGATCGAGGTTAGTGTGTCTCTTTGATGATTTTTTTTTTAAATTTTCTGCTTTGGCCTGTAACAGAAATCTTAGTACTCCGATCTCTGCCATTCTCTACTGCTGGAAATTGAGCCCTTGTGTGTCAGGAATTAAACGCATTTGATTTTTTTTTTTTTGCCATTTCTTAATTCTCTGTTATGGTTTAGCTGAGCTTAGTTTGTCTTTGTCTTTTTTTTCTTTTTGGGTTGATAACTTTAGGTGGAAATGAACAGAATGAGCGATCTTATGAATCTGCGGCCCCAGGTTTGGAAATATGTGGAACGTGTGTCAGCCGTAGGTGGCCTGGTTTGCTTTGGTCGCAGCTCCACCTACAAAATGTCATTTGGAAAGTGGGGTTTTCGCGGTCTCATTGCTTATCTGTTCGTCGGTTCAGTTATGTGGTGCCTTGTCTTCCTTGTCAAGAGCATCCGGGTTCCAGAGAATTACCGAGCTCGTGTGTTAGCTACAACTGCTATTGTGATCTGTGTGATCTCCACTCTGCTTGACAAATCTTTAGCTGGAAAATCAGATGCATTGAGCATCATCTCGTATGGTTTATCGCCTTGATGTCGCTGTCCGTGTCAAGGAGGTCTGAGCTTGGATTCGAGACAGGGTTCTCCGCTTTTTTCCTGACATTTTTCGTTGAAGAACTCCTAAAAAACAGCTGGATCTTCTTATTACCGATAGCATTATTAGTTCTCCTCTGGGTCTGGGTCATCCCCATCCTCCGCCGCAACAACTCAGAATCCGGAGTTCAGGTGAGTTCCATCAGTCCATATGCTCTTATCACGGTGAATTGTTGTTGACGATGAAAACACCAATGTGGAGGTCTTAATTGAGTTTTGCAGCAAAATATTCAAACAATTGAGCCTGCTACTTACATTTATTTTATGCTTGTGGATTTTGTCTTTTGCAGAGCCAAGATTCGCGAGTAATGGGAGAAGTTTCAGTGCAAAGCCTGTCATCTACGAACAGTCAGCAAAATTATAATCAAGAGGAGCCTTCTCAAGATGTAAGTGATCACCAAAACGGAATATAAATGTTCAGTATTTAGTCTACTATTAACTGACCCCACTTATTATCGCTTTCATACTGATGCATCATTCTCTTATTTTGGACCATCAGCAAAATAATGAAGATGAGGAAAGCCGTTCGCTTCTTCCAAATGTAAGTGACCAAATCCAATATAAATATTCATTTTACTGATATGCTGCTCTAGTCTCTCATGCAGCTCACACCGTCAGTGAGGGCAAAGGGGTTCTAACGCCCCGCTCTCCAATGCCCCTTAAAATGTCCCAACTTCCCAAATGTTTTTTTCCTTCTCTCTTTTTTATATGTAAAATAAATGACATTTTGATACTTATGAGCAAAAAGTAGTGCAGTTTTAAATTTTTTTATGATTTTTGGGCAAGAGGATTATAGGAAAGAGATATAGAAAGAGAGAGGAGGGAGGGAGATGCAAAGTAACAAGAAAGGAAGAGGAAGTAGTTATTCCGGCAAGGCATCAAATAATATTTCATTCACCAATGACCCATGTGCCTTGATGGAACCATTACGACTCATGAGGCTGAGGGTTCCACCCTTGCAATGGCCTGGGTGAAGCAAGTCTAGGGAGCTTCATGTAAATAGTATACAGCCATTTTTGGGATGATTAGTATCCTTTGTTACGATTGAACTCATCTCCTTGCCCTCCTTCGTTTTCTCTTCCCTACCCTTGCAAAACATTATTCAAGCAATTATTGAACCTGACGCCAAACATTAATTGTTACTACTCGAAGTAACAGGTACTTTATGCTTGTGGATTTTCTTTGTTTGCAGATCGGGCAAGCTTCCCCATGGATTGTAGATGTTCCAGAGAGCCGGTTACCTGCCGACAATCAGCAACCTAACCACGAGGAGCCTTATCAAGCTGTAAGTGACCAAAGCGAAATATAAATATTCAGTTTACTTGTATACTTCTCTAGTCTCTCATGTAACACACACACACAGACCAGTCACTGAGGCGAGAGGATTGTGGGAAAGGGATATAGAAAAGAGAGAGGAGAGAGGGAGACGCGATGTAACAGAAAGGGAGAGGGAAGAGAGACGGAACAAGATAGGAAGAGGAAGTAGTTATTTCAACAAGGCATCAAATAATATTCCATTCACCAAAAGCCTACTGCATAAGTTGCATGGGGGCTATTTGTAGAAGCCACTTGCTTGCCAATGGCACCATTATGACCCTGTTAATCCTAAGGCTGAGGGTTCTACCCTTGCAATGGCCTGTGTGACGGAAATCTTGCTCTATCATTTTTGGGATGATAGATTAATATCCTTTGTTACGATTGAACTCATCTCCTTGCCTTTCTTCGTTTTCTCTCCCCTCCCCCACCGTCTCTCTTCTGCATTCCCTTTCTTTCCCTCTGCTTCTGTAACCCTCCCCTGGATTCTCCTCTGTTTGAATCAGTGGCAGTGTGTTACATGACATCTGTCTCCTATTAAATGACTGAACTTGTATTTTATGTTTGTGGATTTTGTCTTTTGCAGAGCCAAGATGACAGAGTGATGGGAGAAGTTTCAGGGCAAAGCCTGTCATCTACGACCATTCAACAAAATCATAACCAAGAGCAGCCTTCTCAAGCTGTAAGTGATCACCAAAGCGGAATATAAATATTCAATACTTGGATATAATGCTCTATTCTCCTATTAAATGACTCCACTTATTTTCGCTTTCATACTGATGCATCATTCTCTTATTTTGGACCATCAGCAAAACAACGAAGACGAGGAAAACCGTCCGCTTCTTCCAGACGTGAGTGACAAATCCAATATAAATATTCACATAAATATTTATTTTATTGATATACTTCTCTAGTCACCCGTGCAGCACACACCGTCCGTGAAGGACAAGGGGTTCTAATGCACCCCTCTCTAATGTTCCTTGAAATGCCCCAGCTTCCCAAATGTTTTTTTCTCCTGTCTTTTCATCATTATCATCATTACATTCTACATAAATGAACAGAATTTTGATGTTCTTAGGAACCAAAAATAGTGCACTTTTGAATTTTTTATGTTTTTAAAAAAATTAAATAAATAATGCACAATTTTAGAGTATTTTTATTTAAAAAATTGTAAAAAAATCAAAACTAGACCATTTTTTATTTATAAAATATCAAAATGTCACTTTTTTTTTTTTTTACAAAATCTAATGATAACAAGAAAGAAGAATAAAAGACATTTGGGAGGTTCAGACATTTCAAAGGTATTAGAGGCCCCTCGCTCGTCAATTTAGGCGAGAGGATTATAGGAAAGAGATGTAGAAAGAGAGAGGAGGCAGAGAGATGCGAAGAACAGAAAGGGAGGGGGAAGAGAGAAGGAACAAGAAAGGAAGAGGAAGTAGTTATTCCAACAAGGCACCAAATCATATTTCATTATACTCATCAAATGTCTGCTGCATAAGTTGCATGGTGGATATTTATAGAAGCCACTTGCTTGCCAATGGCCCATGTGCCCTGATACATGGCACCATTATGTGAATGGCGGCCATTTGTGGGATGATGGATTAATGTCCTTTGTTACGATTGAACTCATCTCCTTGCCCTTCTTCGTTTTCTCTCCTCTTTCACCCCATCTCTCTTCTGCATTCCCTTTCTCTCCCTCTGCTTCTGTAACCCTCCCCGGATTCTGCTCTGTTTGAATCCTCAGTGGCAGTGTGTTGCATGGCATCTGTCTCTTATTAAATGACTGAACCTGTTTTGTTACTTCCATACAGACCCATCGTTCCTCGGGGATGGAAGAAATTTCAGAGGAAAGCACACCAGAGAGGGGCGATGAGCATAATAATGAAGCAGAGGAAGATCCTTCGTCTTTGGCAGCTGTAGGTGATCAGATCCAATATTGGTGTTTATTTGTGTTATTACATACATGATTCAGTCGCGTTTTAATGGTTTCCGTTTTTCGCAGGTATCCTGGGACCAAGATCATGTTCCATCAGGAAACAGCCACGTCATAATCCAAATCGAGGGGACGCCTGAACTACGGTACTCCTCTTAAACCCCCATATCATACATTTGTGCTCAATATTAGTGTCATGGCAATTACTATAATTGATCGTAATAGAATTTGTACGGATCATCAAACAAAGCCAAAGGAAACCCTAACACTACAACCTAGCTGTTACTTAATCAGATAGATGCAGTACTCAAGACAGACCCTATAGCTATTTGCTACCACAAGATTGTTTGGGATTGAAACAAGAAAAATAGGGGAAGTGAATTTGATGATATTATTAGTTATTAATAATATAAAAAGAAGATTTTTTTAGAGCTATCTCTTTTGTTCTCTACTGTGATTTCATCAAACGGAGGATATGTTTTACAGGAATTTATGCATTATATTTATGACTTGTTATTCGTAGGAGTAGTTTGAGTACAAGAAAAATAAAGTAACTGGAATAAGCATAGTACTGTTTGTTTGTTGCGCAGGCGTAGAATGAGAATTCCAAACATGTCAAGCCCCGTTAGACACACGCTTGGGCAGTTGCGGCGCCGGGTGGACCCCCGCTCTTTCAATTTCCTCTTTTTTTTTAAATAATGCCCACTGTACGAAACTCCACGATAGTTGAAGTCGTCTCCCACTAAAGCAGCATCCAGGGACCCACTTTCATGTTGACACTTGACACTTTTTAAGAACTGGAATGTAACCCAACCACTGTGCTTTTATCTGAGTCATGGAAAAAATGAGTCGGGTGATTCACCTCACGTGCTTCTCTCTCCCAACTACTTTCCAACGACACCGGCATTGTTTACATATTACTCCTATTATTATTAATGTTAATAATATTCATGATAATTGTTGCTGCCAGGAAAAAAATAAATAAATATTCCAAGCCATAGAATGGCAATACCCATTTGTGTGCATTGACAACGGTATTTTTCCAATAATTATTTGACGATTAAGTACAAATATTAACGGCTTATAATATGCCGAGTTCTTGTAATAATTTTGTTTATATGTCACAATTTTAAGATAAGATCTTCTCCAACAATGGTGCGGCTAAGGGCAAATAATCTTAAATAATTATTTCTGATCAAGTTATTTTAGAACAAAAAATTCTCTCATTCAACTTTTGTAATGATCATTAGATTTTAATCCTCTTTTTTTTTTTCCCATTCAATGTGATTTTTTAACGTATGTAAGATTCTGATTTTTTTTTTTAAATTTCATTAGAACAATTTATGCTTGAAGTTTCAATATCTTTAAAATGTACCCAAACATGAGCATCCAATGGTACAAACCCAAACAAAGATTTCATTCATTTTTGATTATTTTGGATATCATACCTAAGCTTTTGAAGAATACAACTTATACACTATATAAAATTTTTAAAGTGTTTGGGTGAAAATTAAATCATAGTTTTAAAAATAATTTTATCAGGTATTAAGTAAGGAAAAAAAGTTTTGTCTCAGCTTGTATAAAAGTGCTTTTTCAAACAAGTTTTTTGGGTTACCCAAACATCCTTTTTATGTGAGACAAATAAGATTTACATTCAAATTGAAATAGTTGAGTGAATCCTCTGAATTAAATCTTCACTGGAATAAAATAGTGAATCTTCAAAATGAAAGCTTTTTGCTGGACGTACTCCACCCATAGCTCAAACCCTCATCTTCATCTTCAAATGAAGAACCAGAAACTCACTCCAACTTCGAAATTTTGCAGGCAGTGCAGGCTGATCAACGTTCCTCTGCTTTCCAGTTACAAGAAGCTTCTTCATATAACTGCTTACAAATTTACAATTACAAAAGTCGATGAACCAAATAAATCAGTATTTATGCCTTAACTTTCAGACTACATCATAAATTCAATTGCTGGACTATATAACGAGAACACTCTAAAATTCTAAAGAAAGAAAGGGTTTAAAACAGATCGTGCTAGTTGTGTTGACACCCGGAAATATTTATTTGGTTAATTAACAGAAGTAGGATTTCTTCTGTATATAACTTCATTATACTCCTTCTGGTTCAAAATAAAAAAATACACTTTATTATTCACGTTCATCAATAAATTAGTTAAAATTAATTTAAAACAATAAATATGTAAGGCATATTTTTTTTTTTCAAATATGCTCTTATTAATAAAAAGAATGAGTAAAAGATGCAATAAATGAATCAAATAAGAAAAAAAATATATGTTAGGGGTAAAATTAGGGGGAGGAATTATTAAATGCTTAGACAAACATGAATATTATCTTATAAAAAAACTAAGTCCCTTCAACAAAATTTATCTTATGCTCCTATTTTGAACTGGATGGAGTATTGACTAAAACAAACTCTTCTATATGATATCATCTTGTAGCTGAGATTGAAAATAGACAGCAGATATGAGGGAAAATGTTGGAGGAGATTACTCTGACGTCGTTTGGACCATCGTTTCGTTGCAATTCTGACAAGTTAATTCAGGGATTATTATTAGAAAATTTTTATTTTAATTCAAAAACATTAACACTTGTATTTAAGGTTGTGAATTCTCTTATAAGTTTTGTAATGTTTATGTTTCTTATGAATTACTGAATTTGGGTTACAAATCGCTAAATTTCATTTATTCATTCACATTTAAACACTTATATTTGTGGTTGTGAATTTTCTTATGTTTCTTATAAATCGCTAAATTTGAGTTGTAAATTACTGAATTTTTGTTATAAATCTTTGAATTTCACTTACTCATTCATATCTAAACATTTGCATTTGTGGTTGTAAATTTCCTTATATTTCTTGTAAATTGCTGAATCTTATGTATAAATTGTTAAATTTTATTTGTTCATTCACACTTGGATACTTGCACTTATTTTGTTTTATTATTTTTGGTATGCCAAGGGATCGTGAGTTCAAACCCCCCCGGCCACCTTATCTCCTAAAAAAAAAAAAAACTGGTGGTTGAACCTCCGATCTCTGGCAATTGAAGTTCCTAAAACAAAACGAGAAGAAATAAAAAACAGTAATCACAATGAGCTTTTGAGGAATGCTGCGCTTTTTATTTTTTCTGATTCTCAATGACTACAGCAACTGCCTTTTATAATGCAAGGCGGTACAACTTATTTCCTAAGATCTCTCTAACAGACCAAGGATTTCGCTAGCACTCTCTCATTACTCTAAATGAAACAAATCAGCAAAGTAATCGGAAACTAACCTAGTTGACAGAATAAAGAAAACCAACGAATAAAATAGAATCCCAAGCATCTCGGAATAAGACGTTGAGCTGACTGCACGTGTTCCTCATGCACTGGAAGTTTGTGCTAGCTATTTTCCACACTCCCCCTTAGTACAAACTTCCTATCTGTAATTCCGAGTGCCTTTCGAAGATTCTGGAACTTGGGTTTCACCAGAGCCTTGGTGAAGATATCTGCCACTTGAGCGCCTGTTCGAATGCTCGTTAATTCTATCTCTTCACTCAGGACCTTCTCTCGTACGAAGTGATGACGTACTTCTATGTGTTTTGTTCTTGCATGGAACACTGGGTTAGAAGCAAGTTTGATAGCACTTTCATTGTCACATTTGATCTCTACGGCATAGTCATCTTCGTGTAACACGTCTTTGATTAGTCTCTTCAACCAGATGCACTCTTGAGTGGCCATTGTCGCTGCCACATACTCTGCTTCAGTGCTAGACAATGCTACAATATCTTGCTTCTTACTACACCAAGAGACTACTGCGGACCCGACGCTGAAACAATGACCAGAAGTGGAGTGTCTGTCATTTGTATCTCCTGCCCAATCTGCATCAGTGAAACCGCTCAGCATAAACCTTACATCCTTCTTGTACATGAGTCCATATTCGAGGGTCCCTTTTACATATCGCAGGATCCTTTTTGCAGCTTCCAAGTGAGGAACTCTTGGGTTTTGCATGAACTAAGAAATTATGCTGACCGAGTACGATATTTCTGGTCTTGTAATGGTTAAATAAATCAAGCTTCCTACAAGTTGTCGAAACTTCACTGGGTCTTTCAATATTCTTCCATCATCTTTCCTTAACTTCAGGTTTGGTTCCATTGGGGTAGCCTTCTCTTTTGCTTTTTCCAAGCCAAAGCGTTCTAGGAGATTCTTCGCATAGGCTCTTTGAGACACAAAGTACCCCTGGCTTGTTTTCTCAACTTCCAAACCAAGGAAGCAGCTTACTTCCCCCAGATTCTTCATGTCGAACCTTAGAGACAAATCATTCCTCAAGCTGGAGATTTGTGCTTCACTGTTTCCAGTTATAATCATGTCATCAACGTATAATAGCACCAACAGCTGTAAGCCCGATTCTAACTTTATGAACAGGCTAGAATCTGCATCTGATACTTTAAAACCACAGAATATAAGATACTGAGCAACTTTACCGTACCAGGCTCGTGGGGCTTGTTTTAAGCCGTACAAAGCTTTCTTCAATCGACACACATGATTTGGGAGTTGCTCAGAGACGAACCCAGGCGATTGCTGCATGAGAACTTCTCTTTCTAATTCTCCGTAAAGAAACGCGTTCTTTACGTCTAGTTGCCACAACTTCCAGCCTTTGAACGCAGCAAGTGAAATGATGGTTCTGACTGTCACCATCTTCGCTACTGGGCTAAAAGTTTCTTCGTAGTCCAGCCCGTAGCGTTGAGAAAATCCTCGTGCAACTAGACGAGCTTTGTACCTGTCGACGGTGCCATCGGACTTCTTTTTTAGTTTGAATACCCACTTGCAAGTGACTGGTTCACATTTCTCTGGTTTGGGCACTAACTCCCACGTCTCATTTTTCGCCAATGCACTTATTTCTTCTTGCATGGCCTTTTTCCACTCCGGATTATCTTTTGCTTCTTCATAGCAGGTTGGTTCACCTGCACTTTGCTCCCCCATAAAGAAACATGCAGCAACTGAACAATTATTGACTTCATAGTCATTCAAATATTGGGGCTGCTTCCTTTCCCTCGTTGACCGTCTCAGGTTCTGGTCGTTGTGCTCCTTACTTCTGGGTGATGCCTCTCTTTCTTCTTCCTCCATATCGTCATTATTGAGTATTCTCTCGGGAAAAAGAAATTCTGAGTGGTTGTCATCGGAGGCAGCAAGTCTAGGAGCTTCAAATGAAGTTGACGCTTCATCAAATACAACATCTCTGGAGGTTGTAAATTTCTTTATTTTTGGATCCATACACCTCCATCCTTTCCTATGAGGGTCATAGCCAACAAACACACATTTTCTTGCTTTTGGGTCAAGTTTAGTTCGGTTGCTCTTGGGAATATGAACATAACATATGGACCCAAAAACTCTAAAATAATTCACATTCGGTTTCTCACCATATACTACTTCAAAGGGAGATTTTTGTGTACCTGGCCAGGCTGGCAATCTATTCGTTACATGACATGCGCATTGGATTGCCTCTGCCCATAGTTCTCTAGGGAGGTTCTTGTCGTGCAGCCATGAGAGACACACTGACGTAAGATGTGCCAGCTTTCTCTCAGCGATCCCATTCTGTTGAGGAGTCTCTGGACAGGTCATCTGTCGGCTAATACCATTGCTATCGCAATATTTGAAGAAAGCATCAGACATGTACTCTCCACCGTTGTCGCTTCTGAGGCACTTTATTTTCTTTCCAAACTCCTTTTCAGTTGCTTCTTTGAACTCTACGAATTTGTTTAGTGCCTCACCTTTCTCTTTTAGGAACTTCACCCACGTGAACCTCGAGTAATCATCTACTAACACCATGACATATCGTTGTCCACTGCAGCTTGGTGTTCTTGTTGGCCCCATCAGGTCCGTGTGAACCAAATCAAACATCTCAGAACAACGACTTGACGACCTTTTATATGGAAGTCGATGAGACTTGCCATATTGGCATCCCTGGCAAATCACGTCTTCACGGACGTTTTCCAAGTTTGGCATTCCATCCACTAGTCTCTTTGTTGAGATTTGCTGCAGCAACTGGTATCCAACGTGACCCAGTCGAGCATGCCAAATAGCGGCATTGTCGGTTTGACTTGTCTTTTTCACATAGGCTTCTCCTGCTGACATAACAAACAAAGAACCTTTCTTTTCACCAGAAAACAAAACTTCAGCAGATATCTCTTTTACATTATCGAGTATTTTAACATCCTTAGGTCCAAATAAGACGTACTTTCCAGATTCAGTGATCTGAGGAACTGACACTAAGTTTTTAGTCAAACCTGGAACATGATAAACATCGTTTAGTTTAATGCTCTCTTGATCACTTACTTCGACTGTTACTACTCCTTCTTTGGTTACAGGATGGGTCGAGTTGTCAGCGGTGACGATGACTCTGTCTCCTTGATGTTCATGTATCTCAGAAAACAAAGTCTCATTTCCGGTTACATGATGAGAGCACCCTGAGTCGATAATCCATTCTTCCTCCTTATTTAAAGCAAGATTTGCAAAGCCAATTGTTGACTTTTGGTCTACCGCTTCGACGGTGAAGCAATGATCCCATTTGGGTTGCTCATTTTCTTCACTAGTACACACGAAATTGGCCCTCGATAGCTTTACTCGGCAATACTTCTTTATGTGCCCGGGCTTACCACACCTGAAACATGTAACTGGCTTTTTAAGTCGAGGTTCTCCATCTTCTTGAGCACTTGAATCATCATCTTCGTTCTTACTACTCGACGTGAGTTTTGACTTGCCCTTCGAGAAAAGGACAGCGTCAGTCTCTGTGCCTTTTGTCATTTGCTTAGCCAGTGCTTCTTGGTTGGAGAGTAGATTTTCCAACTCTTCTACTGAAGGTTGTGTCACCCACCCTTGAATGGAGGTAACAAAGGGCCCATATTCTTTCTTTAGTCCTCGCACTAGATAACGACGCAGCCTTGCATCGCTAATCTTTTCATCCGCGTCAATCTCTGAAATCTCAGCACACACAGCTTTAACCCGTAAGAAATATTCTGATATTGACATACCTTCTTGAGTTAAGCCGGCCAATTCGTTCTCTAGAAGCTGCAACCGTGCTGTGTTCTTCTTAGTAAACAACCTCTCTAGTGTCTGCCACACTTCTTTTGGAGAAGCAACATCACGAACGTGCTCAATATATTCTTTGCTGATAGATGTTCTCAAGGCGTAGAGTGCTTTGCCACACTTGATCTTCCACTTGCGCCGTGCTTCGGAGTTTTCGGGAACATCCGAGGGAATCACATCAGCTCCAGCGACCAGCTCCCACAGGTCCTGACCTTGGAGGTAAGCCTCCATGCACATTCTCCAGTACTTATAGTTAGTACCTCCTAGCTTCTCCATTCCGGGTTGACCGTTGCCTCCATTTGAGAGCTCCATCGCAGCAAATGAGAAAATTCTACTCACTTATAAACCGTGGCTCTGATACCATAAAACAAAACGAGAAGAAATAAAAAACAGTAATCACAATGAGCTTTTGAGGAATGCTGCGCTTTTTATTTTTTCTGATTCTCAATGACTACAGCAACTGCCTTTTATAATGCAAGGCGGTACAACTTATTTCCTAAGATCTCTCTAACAGACCAAGGATTTCGCTAGCACTCTCTCATTACTCTAAATGAAACAAATCAGCAAAGTAATCGGAAACTAACCTAGTTGACAGAATAAAGAAAACCAACGAATAAAATAGAATCCCAAGCATCTCGGAATAAGACGTTGAGCTGACTGCACGTGTTCCTCATGCACTGGAAGTTTGTGCTAGCTATTTTCCACACCGTCAACAATTAATGTTTATTTTTAAAAAAAATCAAAAGGAGGACCTATCTTCGTGGTGCTCTCTCAATGGATGTGGCAAATTCTGACTCTAATTATGTGGCCTCTCCGAACGACCCTATTAAGCTCAACATCGGCGGGAAGCTCTTCGAGGCAACGCTTGCCACCCTTCGCCCTGGTGGTCCAGATTCCCTTCTCACCGCTCTCTCCGTCTGCGACACCTGCGATGACCACCCTATTTTCATTGACCGCGACCCCAAGATCTTCTCCGTCCTCTTCTCTCCCCTCCGCCCCAATCCGCTCCCCTCTGCCTCTCGTCGTTTCTGCAGGCAAGAACTTCCCGATGAAGCCCTTTACTACGGCATCGACGCCCAACTCAGGTCGGCCTTTATATATTCATTACTCTCCCATGCACTCTTTATATATTCACACACAAATAATTTTTACATGCCATTCACATAGTTCTTAGTTACTATATAATCTTTTCCTTGCAATGCACGGGCGCTCTGCACATTAATGTTTTTTGTCAAGTATACTTATAGATTCACAATGAATCAGCATCACAGCATTACCTTGTTTAAATTATGTATTGATACTAAAATGAGAACTGGTTCATTTTGAACATGTAGCAACCTCTTTTACATGTTAAAAATATCATGAGTTAACAAATCACGGGATGTTTGGAAACCCCAAAAAAAGACTTAAAATAAGTGCTTTTATATTACTTAAAATCACTTTTAAAAGCTAATCCCTACAATGGTAAATCAAAGACTATTTCATTTAATAAAGAAGGACCACTTGAGTGGAGCTCTCGGTTAGTCTCTAGGTGTGCTCTCTCTTGGATAACGTGCAAGAGCCTTTCCTCAATGGAGATCAACAGCAACGGCCTGCGCAAGCAACCACCTGACCGACCCACCGACGACCTTGCTAAAGAGGGCGGTAAGAAAAACAAGAAAGGTAATAACGCCTCTGGCAATGAGTCTTCTCATACCCCTGATAGTCCCATGATAGAAGCCCCCACAAACGAAGTTATCTCAACGTCCACTGAGTCGCAGGTAATAACAATGGAACACGATGATGTTTCGGATTCATCAAAACATCCCGCGGAGCAAAAAAAACCTATGTCCTACAAAGCCTCCCTCATCGGCTTTAATGGTGTAGCAAACGGTGGCACCACCATGGCGAAGGACGATATTCTGTTTCACGATGATGATTTTGCTTGGGATTTACCTGAGCCTACAGAAGAGACCAAAAATTATTTTTTTTACCTTAGAAATAAGACTAGAGGAGTTTTTTTTTTTTTTGGCTTTTTTGTGCCACAACAATTTCAGTTCTTTCCATTTATTAACCCTGCCAACGCCAATGATCTACGCCGGATCCCTTATGAGTCACTCTTCTTTGATTCTTTTATTATTTTTTGGTCACAACAATTTCAGTTCCTTCCATTTACTGTACATCTCTTGCATTAATTACATGCCGTTTAACTCAGATCTCTAATCAATGCCACTATCCCCCAACTGCATCAATTTAATTCAATTTCAATTCTTCATTTATAGTTGGAAATTGTGCAATATTTTTTAATACTTCTGTGCTATTTATAACTTTCAGATTTAAGAAGAGATGTGTTCCATTTTGTAAGTTTTAATTTGAGTTTTTCTTAACATTTAATATTTTTTTAATGTTATTTTTAATTATTTTTCTCTTATTATTTTTTTTCATACATCATCTTTCGTCCTTTTCTTTTCATTTATTATAATGATATATTTAAAAATAAAAGTATATTTCTAACTTATTTATTATTTTTAATTTTAATTAATTTTAACTAATTATTTATTATTTGTGAATTAGTTTTTTAAAACTCATGACAAAGACTAGAAGGAGTATTGTGTGTGTGTGTGTGTGTGTGTGTACTGCCACCTATTTGTAGCAGAGGGTATTTCTTCAAATGTCCAGCCTTGCATGCATGTATTGTCAATTTTTCGGTTGGCTTTCATTTTAAATAATTTTTAATTGAAGAATTTGATCGAGCACTAATTTCCTTATTACATTTTAGTTTTATAAGGTCAAAAATATGATATAATAATAAATTGATAAATAAACACATTTTAGTCAAATACAATTAAATTTTTTTCCAGTAACATCCGGGGCGAAAAACATCACATCCTTAATTCTTTTATACTAAAAGACAGTTATTTCAAAATAGAGAATACTAAACTTTCCCTTGCCCAGTCGTCAACCTTAATTTATTGAAGAGATCTTTTAATGTATTCGAAATTGAGCCGAATTATTGAATGACTAAAATATTTTAATTTCTTTTTAATTCCGATGGCTTTTAGTCGTCAAAGATGGGAAGTGAGAACTTCGGAACTTCCCTTCTCCCTCCCGGTATATCACATTTTTCTGGAATTTATTATTGGCTCTTTTATAATTTTAAGAAATATCTTCTCATTTTTACTCCTATATAGTATTGGTTAATGTGAGCTGCATAATTATAAATGAAAATTTATGGCTTTTAATTAGTTGTCGACAAAAAAAGTCAACTTTTCACCTTGTTGGCCAGAAAAACGTCAATTTTTCATCAAATTTTTTAAAAAATAACTTTTTTAATGTACATGATACATTGTGATAAAAATTCAACAAATTTGATGTTGGCCATGCAAAGCCTAATACTGTTGACAAAAAAAGAGGGGGGGGAGAGCCTAATACAACCCTTCTCTTTCATGCGCCTTCTTTTGAGTGTTTGGAACGGACTATTAAACATAGGGAGCTATCAAGTGATACCTTTTAAGTAAAAATTTATATAAAAATTTAGTTACTAATGAAGTACAATGTTCGTGTTGGATGTATGTGATATATATAGAAAATGTTCATGTCGGATGTATGTGATATATATAGAAAATGTGGATAGGATATAGTGGGCGCCAGCAACCTCGAGGAAATCTTGAACATTTATGTATCACTAAAAGCTGCTGGTTTAACGGATTTAAATAATATATATTGTATTCTAATTACTACCTCCAGTCCTAAATATAAGAGCTAGTTGACAAATTTTAGTAAATTAAGAAAACAAGTTAAGTTAATTATTTGTAATAAATAGGTATTGTCTCTTCTAAAATATTCTTGCTAATCAAGTTTATTGGTTAGAATTACTATTATTAGAAGGAGTATCTTGAAAAAAAAATGAATAAATATGAAAGATAAAATAGACTGAGATTTTATATTTAGGACTAAAATAAAAATCAAACAAAATTTTATATTAAAGACTAGAGTAGTATACTCCTCTGGTCCTATTTATAAGGCACTTCCAACAAGTTTCACACAGACCAAGAAAAACCTTAAACTGCATTAACTCCTCATTAAAATATAGCAACTTTCCAACTTTACCCCTATTTAATATATATCTTTTTTAAAAAAGTAACTATCTGCATTATAATAAATGAAGGACAACATGGTAAAGTCATAGTAAAAAGTTAATGAGGTGACTTATAAATAGGACAAAAAAAAACCTTCTCTCTCTGCCTTATAAATAGGACCAGAGGAGTATATCTTAATCTCATATAACAAAATGTACTCTCATCACAACAAAACATACTCCTCTGGTCCTATATGACAGAGATATATAGGACCAAAGAGAAAAGATTTTTTTAGTTCTATTTATAGAACATTAAGAAATTTTTTTTTATATTGATATACAATTTTGCCCTTTATTTGTTATTATGTTGACTTTGTTCACATGAGGTATAATATATATTAAATAGAGATAAAGTTAAAAAGTTATTGAATTTTAAGTAAGAGTTAATAAAGTTTAAGGTTTTCTTTGATCTCTGTGAAATATGTTAAAAGTGACTTATAAATACAGCAAGATGAATATATAGGAAATTCATAATTAATGCATTAGTATAATCTGCATTCTCTATCTTTATTTTTTTTTTTTTGGAAAAACTATTTGCAGGTGCCTCCTTAACTTTTAATTTGGTGCATATCTTTTTTTTTCCTTCTTAATTAAATACTCTAATTGCACTCTGTTAGTATTGGTAGTTTCTTTAACTTTGCTCTATTGATACCGATAGCTCTTATGCAAAAGCTAACTGTGCTCACGGAGCAAAGTTATAGCGTTTAATTAAAAAAAAATACAGGTACCAAATTAAAAATTGAGGAAAACTACAAGTAATTGTAAATTTTTTTTATGCCACCACATTTTCCCTCAATTCGTATGTATTTTTGTTTTTAGGCCAAGCAATCAATTCCTACGCAGCAAATGGCAACTAGGTTTTCAACGACATATTGTAAGGTTATCTTTCCGACCACAGAATATATATTACTATGATTTTTATTATACTTATTTGATTTGATATGCATGCGAAACAAACATCAAACAATTCATTGAACAACGTCACCATCTCTTCCTTCTCCTTTTAAATCTCTTCCAACCCTCCTCCTCCCCCAGTCTCTCTCGTCATTACAGTCTCCACCAGGCCAGCAACCTCCATAGCCTCTACTTATTTTTGTCTTCTCCTTCCCTCTCTCTGCAGCCATGGTTGCCAAGGAAGCTTTTCGTCGTTTCCAACCCATCTCAAAGTGCAGCACTGATGAACGGCAAAACCAAACCGTCGTTTCCGACTTAGACGGCACCCTTCTCGTGTCGCGAAGCGCTTTCCCTTACTACATGCTCGTCGCTGTCGAAGCCGGAAGCTTCCTCCGAGGACTCCTCCTTCTCGCTTCAGTCCCCTTTGTGTATTTAACCTCCTTGTTCGTCTCTGAAACTGTGGCAATCAAAACTCTCATCTTCATCACCTTCGCCGGACTCAAGACCAGAGACGTGGAGCTCGTGTCGAGGTCGGTGTTGCCCAAGTTCTACGCCGGCGACATCCACCCGGAGACTTGGCGGGTGTTCTGTTCGTTCGGGAAGAGGTACGTCGTGACGGCCAGTCCGAGGTTGATGGTGGAGCAATTTGCGAAGACCTTTCTAGAGGCAGATAAGGTCGTAGGTACAGAGCTGAAAGTCACGAAATCTGGGAAGACACTGACAGGGTTTGTTAAGGAACCAGGAGTGCTGGTTGGTGACCACAAGAAAGAAGCCGTTGTCAAGGAATTTGGACAAGAATTGCCAGATTTGGGACTGGGGGACAGTGAATCTGATTGTCACTTCATGTCAATTTGCAAGGTTTGTAATCTTCTATGTATACCCTTTTGTTAACCATGGCTTTTGAAGTTGGTTCAAAACCTGACATGACTTTAACTAATAAACCTCTTCACCTGTTATGACAATATTGTTCTCCCTCAGTTGTTTTGATAAAGAAGAGATTTTTTTAATCTTTTTCCATGAATATTTATAAAAATATTATGCAAGATATTTGTTTCGTTTTTTCTCTTATTGCCCTATTTAATGTTGATTTATATTTTGTACTCCACTGCCATTTGCGTACTACAATTTTTTATGGGTAGTTCTCCCTGTGACATTAACTTCTCAATAGAAGCATCAATATTATCAGCACAAATTAAAAAGAAAAACATATCCAAAATTTATCTCTCTTACAAGACTTTCCTTGATATAGGACTTTTAACATTATCTATAGCCTCTACCTTTTTCCCCTCTCTACATGAGAGAGAGCTAAGTCCTTATACACGTACACCAAATATTATATCTTTTCGCAATATTCTTTAAATGTTTCTTCTGTCGGTTCTTCTCGACTGGGTATTTAATACACCCATACATTCTAATGGCCCCTCCATGTTCTGAAGAATATGATTCCATAGCGGTAAACAGCGACTGGCCGATAAAAGACAACGGCAACACAAATTTGATTATTCTCAACAATAATGCACGGCACTACTTGCCATTAATTCTTGATGTCTAACCTAATATTATAGCGCTCTCGTAGCCACTAATGACTAGTCAATATACTATGATTGTTAGCCCAAAAACCTTAAAAAAAAATACTTTGAATTTTCATTTATTAAAAGTAAAATATTCAAAAAAATTATTTTAATTTTCACAGTTAATTTTATATTGTATGTATTAATTAAACTAGACATTAACACTCACAATCCAACCCAAATTAGTTGAAACCCCAGATTTTTTTAATATACTATATATCAATAGTGTTTAAAACTTTTTTGAGGACCGAGAGAGTTTATGCCTTTTACTACTGCGTACCTATATACTCCACCGACACTTGCCATCTCAAAGTTTCCTGAGGTTTCAATCAATGGTTCTGATGTATTGTCCCTTCATGAAACCTGATATAACCCGTTGCAAGTATATATATTCTCCCCGGATCAATTATATTTGTAGTGAGTATTTTGAATTTGCTCTCATATATGCAGGAAGGATATAGAGTGCCAAGAACAAAATGTGAGCCACTACCCAGAGACAAGCTTTTAAGTCCCATTATCTTCCACGACGGTCGTTTTGCTCAGAGGCCAACCCCTTTTATGGCACTTGTCACCTTCCTATGGCTCCCTATTGGCGCCATACTCGCCATCTTAAGGGTATACCTTAACATCCCACTACCAGAAAGACTCGTCTGGTACAACTCCAAGCTTCTGGGCGTCAGAATCCTTGTCAAGGGCACCCCACCCCCTCCCCCAAAGACCGGCCAGAGCGGTGTCCTTTTTGTCTGCAACCACCGTACCGTCGTCGATCCTGTAGTTATTGCAGTTGCTCTCAAGAGAAAAGTCAGTTGTGTCACCTACAGCATAAGCAAGTTCAGTGAAATAACATCGCCAATCAAAACCGTTGCTTTGTCAAGAGAAAGAGAGAAAGACGCAGAGAATATTAAAAAACTGGTTCAGGAAGGTGACTTGGTGATTTTTCCTGAAGGCACCACTTGCAGGGAACCATTTCTGTTAAGGTTCAGTGCTCTTTTTGCTGAATTAACCGAGAGGATTGTTCCTGTGGCTATTAACACGAATCAGACTGTGTTTAATGGGACCACAGTTCGTGGGCATAAGATTTTGGACCCTTACTTTGTGTTCATGAACCCTATTCCTACGTTTGAGATCACTTTTCTGGACCAGCTTCCAGTTGAGCTCACATGTAAGGGAGGCAAGTCCAGTTTTGAAGTTGCGAATTACATTCAGACAGTTCTTGCGGGGACGCTTAGGTTTGAGTGTACGAATCTGACGAGGAAAGATAAGTACAGCATGCTAGCTGGAACAGATGGGAGGATTGCATTAAAGAAGGAGAAGGATGGGGAGAAGAAGACTGGAAAGCTTGAAATTAATTAAGTGTGATAGCAGATGGGGACAAGAGAAGTACGTACAACTACGTGGTGGATTGGATATATTCTTTTGTATTATGAATTTAGTGGGTTCCCAATGTGCTTCTAAATGTTTAGAACTATGTGTGGATATACATGTAGCGACAAGGCAACAAACATACTCATATTTGTGATAAAGTAATTAATAATAATCTACATGATTATGCTTTAATTTTGTTGTTGAGATATGAATTAATACCAATTATTTATTCTCTATCGGTTTCATGTTGGATTTATCAGTCCCGAAATCTTCTACAGGGTATTATGTCCAGTTGGAGTGAGCAACGACAGGGAAGGCCTTTAATTATTAGTTTTTTTAAGAAGTTACAAGCGGTCGCGAAAACTTTGACTGATTTTCTCTTTGCTCGTATGCTCTGGGCCAGAATAATGAATATAATAGTGATTTTAGAGATTATTATATTGACGAAGTCAAGGTTGTGCTTTCGGCCTTTTGCTATCAGAGTCAACAAGTTCATGCCCTTACGACTCCTTCCTCAGTTTCTCTCCGCGTCAATTCTGAGACCCACATTCCGAGATACGATTCTCTTGAGGTGTTGGGGGGCCGTTGATTGAGGTTAGTAGCTCTCTTCGATGATTTATTTTTGTTTGGCCTGCTGCGGAAATCTTGTTAGTACAGTCTCTGCTATACTCTGCTTTTGGAATTCCTCAAGAATTAAACACTTTTGATCTTTTCTCGATTTTTGAGTCTCTGTTAAGCTTTTCTGCGCCTCATCTGAGCTCTCCCTTTCTTTCTATGTTTCTTTTTTTTTCAAAAATAAATTATGGAAAACCTGATTTAACATTAAGATATAAGTGGAGTGTTGGACTAATTTTCTTTTGTTTTCTTCTAATAACTTTAGGTTGTTTCGGATAGCTGGGAAAGAACAGAGAATGAGAGATCTTGTGTATCATCAGTCCAGGATTTGGAGATATGTGAGAAGTGTGTCAGTCATAAATGGCCTGGTTTGCTTTGGTCTCAGCTCCACCTACGAAAGATCATTTGGAAAGTGGGGTTTTGGCGACTCCTTGCTTATCTATTGGTGGGTTTAATTATGTGGTGCCTCATCTGGCGGGCCAAGAGAATTCGAGCTTCAAAAAAGTCCAATGTCTTGTGGCAGCCCTAATTTTTGATATGATCTGTTTGATCTCGGTCCTGCATGATGAACTTGTGACTGCAAAATCAGAGGCACTGAGCATTATCTCGTATGGTTCATTTGCCTTGATGTCGCTGTCCATGTCAAGGAAGTTTGAGCTCGGATTCGAAACTGGCTTCTCCACTTTTTTCCTGCATGTCTTTGTTTGCCGCACAACTTTTCAAAATCAACTGGAACTTCTTACCCATTGCATTAGTTTTCTGCTCCCTCATCATTATTCTTCGCCACTACTCACAATCCGCATTACAGATTGGTTCCACCAGCCCAAATGCAGCTGTAGTAGAAATTGGCGATGAAGACATCAATGATGAGGTCTCAATTGAGTTTTGCAGCAAAATATTCAAGCTATTACCTGTTACTACTTCAACTAACATGCCTTTTGTCTTTGTGGATTTTGTTTTTGACAGAGCCAAGATTCCCCAGGGATGGGACAAGTTTCAGGGCAAAACCTGCTATCCACGAACAATCAGCAGAATAATCAAGTGGAGTCTTCTCAAGCTGTAAAGTGACCAAAATGGAATATAAATACTCAGTTTACTCATATACTTCTCTAGTCTCCTATCTAATGACTGAACTTCTCTAGTCTCCTATCTAATGACTGAACAACTATTGCCACTTTCACACAGACGCATCATTCCTCATCAGTAATGGACAAGTTTCAGAGGGAGGTGTATTAGATTGGGACAGTGAGCAAATAATCAAGAGGAATCTCTTTGTCTTTCCCAGCTGTAGGTGACCACATACACTATGTTAATACTTATTTTGTTGATTAGATTTTTCACTCTGTGTTGATGGTTTCCATTTTTTTTTTTTTTGGCAGGAATCCTCAGGAAACAACAGGGTCACAATCCAAAACGACTGGACTGGCGGTTCAGCAGCACCACCAGGGGAACTCCTAAGGTCATCCACTGATCCTCTTAAACACATTTCTCCTACACCGTTTCTGCTCACTCGTTTTAATGGCAATGGCAATTCATCATAGATTCATAGTGGCACAGTAAGATAATAAAGAACCTGATCCGAGGTAACATGCAAAGGTTTGATAATAAAAAACCAACATTCTCATACTAAAGCTGCAATTTTCCTCAGAGATTCTCGTACTATAGCTGCAATTTCAAGCAGTAAGATAATAAAGAACCAACATTCTCATATTATGGCTGCAATTTTTCACAGTAAGATATTAAAGAACCAACATTCTCAAACTATATGGCTGCAATTTTTCTCAGAGATTCTGCCGGTGCCATGCAACTGAACGGTCTAATGAATGGCCTCAATTATATTATGCACTGGGATCGTGAACCAGAGACTAACAGGCCCAAGAGATGTGACAATTGGGCTTGGGAGGGGTGCACTGATATTGAACAAGCCATTAAGGTCTATAAATGGAGGAAGAAGTTGGCTTGGAGGTAGGAAGGAATTATGTCGTCCCTTCCCCCTCAGATTCCCTTGTGACTTCCCTTCTTTTCTCTTTAAGTTGATCTTCATCTTGGTCTCTGTGTTTCTTTTGTCTTACATATTTAGAGTGATCTGTATCATAAATATAAGATCTATTTTGTAGTCATGTACATTTTTGTAAATTTAGCTGTGATTTTTCATTGACTATCATGAATAAGGCAGTGTTTGGTTCAATAGGAGGAAACTGAAGGAAGGGATTGTACTGAAGGAAGGAGAGAGAAAGCGATGGGGTTTTAATGAAAAGAAGAGGAGGGAAGTAATTATAATGTTATTTTGTTTGGTTAAGAAGGGAAGGGGAAGAAAAATATTTTTATATAGACAAATTTACCCTTTTTAATTAGTTCTTATTTTGTGACATGTTTAATAAAATATGATTATAAATGACATTTAATATAAAAAATTACAATTTTATAATTATCAAAATGAATAATTTTTTGCCAACTATCAAAATTGAATAAGTATCATTATAATACATGACAATAGGTACTCCTCTTATCCTTAATATAAAACATAATTAACTGATTTGATTAGATTAACGACGTTAGTTAAATTAGTTAATATAATACATTTTTTCTAAAACACCCTATATATCTTCTTTAATTTCTTCCATCCTTCTCCTATTTGATTATTATTGGAAGCATATCAGTAACGTTAATTTGAAAAAATATTGATAAATAAGTTTTGTATATAGGACTAATATAACCTTCTCAATTAGATTCTACATTAAGGACTGAATGAGTGATATATTCAATATTATTAAAAAGACTAATTTTTCCCAATTATGAAAACAAATTTTGATACTTTCTTTTTATAAAAAGTCGTTTTTTATTTTCTCATTAAAAGTCAAGATAATAGATGATAAAATCATTAATAATATTATCATAAAACAGCAATTAACAAATGATTCATAAAGATCTCACATTTAACAAAGACTTGTTCGTATATACCAAAGCAACAAGTCTATTATGGCCACTCATTAGACTAGTTAAATTCCCCACCACAAGCTATCGCTTTGAACAGCTAAAGTTGTTTGAGTTTACAAGAATCCAAGATCTTTAGTATTTAATATAAAAACTAGTTTAACATTCAATTTGATTTTAAACACAAGATGTTAATACACTTTGTCTTTAAGATTTATCTATTTTTTTTAAAATAGTCATAGCAGTAATTGCATATATTAAAGGTTTTATTAAATAGTACTTTTAGCTATTACAAATGATTAACAAGGATATTCTAGGGAAAACAACACGTATTTATTACAAATGACTAACTTAACTCACTTTTTTAATCTTCACTAATGCATCAACTATCAAGTACCGGAGGTAGTACAATGCTTTCAACAATAAAAACATAAATCATAGAATCATGCTGATTCTTTGCTGAGCAAAACAAAAAAACAAAAAAGAAAAAAGAAGAGAGAGAGAGAGAGCAGATGGCTGCAGCCTCTTGCCTTATCTTCCTTAGACCTGAAACAAGGAAAAAAAAACTTACTTGTCACTGAGCTCATCCCAACCAAAAAGAAATAAAGCTCATGGCATATGAAATCATGCAGACAATGTTTGTATTGCAAATAAAGTATATGGCCAATTACTAACAGATTATATATAAAAAAAAAAAAAGAAAAGAAATGGTAATCCCTAAATTTTCTTTAACTTTTCATTGCCATAACTTCTCTCCTAGCTCACATGACACACAGAATCAAATTAGTTTTGATAACTACAATATATCAAACACACAACCTGCAAGGTGCCCACCGGCCTCAAGCAGCACCATAGAGTTTGAAAACCCAGTTTTTTAATATATCAATGGAGTTTGAAACTTTCTTTCTGAGGACCAAGAGAGTTTTAAAGTTTAAACCTTTTACTACTACGTACCTATACCCCACCGCCCACCGACGACGCTTGCCATCTCAGAGTTTCCTGAAGTGAGGATCAACGGTTCTGATATATTCTCAATTCAACAAACCTGCCGTTGTGTGTGTATTGTAGCTGGATCATTTATTTTCCCTTGATTTTATATATTTTGAGTATTTTGAATTGCTCTTTTATATGCAGGATGGATATAGAGTGCCAAGAACAACGTGTGAGCCACTACCCAGAGACAAGCTTTTGAGTCTCATCTTCTTCCACGACGGTCGTTTTGCTCAGAGGCCAACCCCCCTTATGGCACTATTGACCTTCCTATGGCTCCCTATTGGCACCATACTCTCCATCTTAAGGGTATACCTCGACATTCCATCGCCAGAAAAACTCGTTTGGTATCTGGGCGTCAGAATCCTTGTCAAGGGCACCCCACCCACTCCCCCAAAGACAGGCCAAAGCGGCGTCCTTTTTTTCTGCAATCACCGTACGGTCGCCGATCCTGTAGTTATTGCAGTGGCTCTCAAGAGAAAAGTCAGCTGTGTCACGTACAGCATCAGCAAGTTCAGTGAAATAACACCGCCGATCAAAACCGTTGCTTTGTCAAGAGAAAAAGAGAGAGATGCTGAGAATATTAAAAAAATGATGGCTTGGTTATTTTTCATGGAGGAACGACTTATGCTGAGAATCATTTCTTTTAAGGTTCAGTGCTCCTTTAGCAGAATTAACCCAGAGGATTGTTCCTGTGGCTATCAGCACGAAGAAGACTATGTTTAATATGACCACACTTCGTGGGCATAAGATTTTGAGCCCTTTGTGTTCATGAACCCTATTCCCACATTTGAGATCGATTTTCTGGACCAGCTTCCAGTTGACCTCACGTGTAAGGGAGGGAAGTTCAGTCTTGAAGTTGCAAACTACATTCAGACAGTTCTTGCGGGGACGCTTAGGTTTGAGGTTACGAATCTGACAAGGAAAGATAAGTAGAGTGTGCTTGCTGGAACAGATGGGAGGATTGCATTTACGAAGGATAAGGATGGGGAAAAGAAGACCCGAAAGATTGAAATCAATTAAGCGTGACAGCAGATAAGGACAAGAGAAGCACGTACAAGTACGTGGTAGATTGGATACTCTTTTGTATTATGAATCTAGTGGGCTCCCAATGTGGTCCTAAATGTTTAGAAGTGCGTGTGTATATACATATAGCTATAAGGCAATAAACATGCTCATATTTGTGATAAAGTTATCAATCATCTACTTTATTTTGTTGTTGTGATATAAATTAATACCAACATGTATTCTCTATCGGTTGCATGTTGGGTTTATAAGTCCCGAAATCTTCTACAGCCTTCGAAATCTTCTACAGCCTTTATGGCCTGAAGATTTCACAATGGTAGTTTTAGACTTCTACAGTGTACCATACCATGTCCAATTGGAGTGAGCGAAAACAGAGAAGGCCCTCAATTGTAACATTAGAATGTGGCCTAACTATTTGATGATTATTTTTTTCAGAAGTTAAAAGTGGGCTCAAAAACTGTGATTGATCTTCTCTTTGATTGTATTCTTTGGGCCAAACCTTAATGATACATTAATTACCAAAAAGAAAAACACAATGTAAAGGCCTAAGCTGTAACGATACTCGTCTATTAATTTTTTCAACGGGCAAGCGCCCCGGTATGAATAATAAATATGATAGTGATTTTACATTTTATATTGACAAAGCAAAGACCATTAAGATATCAAGTCAAGGTTACGCTTTTGGTAACGGAGCGGAGAGTTGACAAAGTTGATACCTTTACTGTTCCTTCCTCAATTTCTTTCCGCCTCAATCCCAAGACCCTCATTCCGACTTACGATCCCCTTTTGGTCTCCACGATTCTCTGGAAGGAGGCGTTTGATTAAGGTTAGCAGGTCTCTTTGATGATTTATTTTTGTTTGGCCTGTAACTTGAAATCTTGGTACAATCTCTGCTATACCCTGCTTTTTGGAATTCCTCAGGAATTAAACACTTTTGATCTTTTCCCCATTTTTAAGTCTCTGTTAAGCTTTTCTGATGCCTTATCTGACTTCCCCTTTCTTTCTTTGTCTGCAACCACCGTACGATCCTCTTGTGGTTGCGGCCGGCGATTCTGAGCAGTGTGGGAGGGGGCGTTTGATTGAGGTTAGTATGTCCTTTGATGAATTTTTCTTTTGGCCTGTAACAGAAATCTTAGTACAATATCTGCTATACTCTTCTTTGGAACTGGAATCCTTGTTCATGAGGAACTAAACGCATTTGATCTTTTTGCCATTTTCGATTCTCTTTATGCTTTGACTGAGCTTAGTCTGTCTTTTTTTTTTTTTTTTTGTGGTTGATAACTTTAGGCTGTTTCTGATACCTGGAGAAGAACAGAATGGGGGATCTTATAAATCAGACCAAGGTTTGGATGTTTGTGGGATTCGTGTCAGCCATAAATGGCCTGGTTTGCTTTCTTCTCAGTTCCACCTACAAAATGTTATTTGGAAAGTGGGTATTGGCGCTCTCCTTTTTTATATATTGATCAGTTCAATTATGTTTTACCTCATCTGGCGGGGCAAGAGAATTCCAATTCGAGAGAGATACCAAGATCAAGTGAAAGCTCTAATTTTTTTTGGGATATGTTTGATCTCCGTGCTGCTTGACAAACTCATGCCTGGCAAATCAGATGCATGGAGCATTATCTCCTATGCTTCATTTGCCTTGATGTCGCTGTCCTCGTCAAGGAAGTCTGAGCTTGGATTCGAAACTGGGTTCTTCAGTTTTTTCCTATCATTGTTTTTCGAACAACTATGCAAAACCAACTTGAAACTCTCACCGATTGCAATAGTTTTCTGCTTGCTGGTCCTGATTCTTCGCCACTACTCAGCATCCGGAATCTCAGCATCCAGAATACAGTCTGGCACTCCAAATGGCTATCATCACGTTGAAGTTTTTCCTCCAAGTCAAGTTGTAACAGACAGTAGTGAGGTCTTAATTGAGTTTCGCAGCAAAACATTATTCAAGCAATTATTGAACCTGACGTCAGATAAGTGTTCCTCGAACTAACATGTACTTTATGCTTGTGGATTTTCCTTGTTTGCAGAGCCAATACTCCCCAGGGATGGGAGAAGTTTCAGGGCAAAGCCTGTTATCTGCCCATAATCAGCAAAATAACCAAGACGAGCATTCTGTAAGTGACCAAACCGGAATATAAATATTCAGTTTACTCATATACTACTTCTCTAGCCTCTCATGTAACACACACTCACACACAGGCCAATCACTAAGGCGGGAGGATTATGGGAAATAGATATAGAAATTAGAAAGAGAGAGGAGGGAGAGAAATGCGAAGAACAGAAAGGGAGGGGGAAGAGAGACGGAACAAGAAAGGAAGAGGAAGTAGTTATTTCAACAAGGCATCAAATCATGTTTCATTCATCAAAAGTCTGCGGCATAAGTTGCATGGTGGATATTTATAGAAGCCGCTTGCTTGCCAACGGCCCGTGTGCCCTGATATATGGCACCATTACGACTCATTGGGCTGAGGGTTCTCATCTTGCATTGGCATGGGGGAAGAAAATCCTGCTTTATTTGAATTGCAGCCATTTGTGGGATGACAGATTAATATACTTTGTTACGATTGATGACAGGTATGCTTCATATGCTTGGCCAAATACGCAGAGAAAGAACTAGTGAGAATTTTGCCCTGCTCCCATATGTTTCACCTGGAATGTGTGGACAAATGGCTCAGAATTGCATCCTCCTGTCCTCTCTGCAAATGGGAGATAGGGAGGTAGAAATATGTCACACTCAACTCAACAATGTCACCATCCTCACTTGTTCTTGCCGCTTCCAAAGGTTACCTTTTTGTTTGTGTCTTTGTTCTCTTGGTTCACTTTAGTCCAATGTACTTTATTGGTGTTGCTTGTGTGAGTTTGAGCATATGTATAAAAACATCTCACCAGTAACCTCAGTAAGCCGTGCTTCCAGTTAAGATTTTATCCCCCTGTTTTAGCACTTACGTACGCAATAATGAAGCAAAAATATTTGCACTTTTTTTTGTGAAGAGGAAATAGGGAGGGCATGAGGAAAAAAAAACAAGAGTGAAGCAAAACCAATAAGAGAGGGATAAAGAAAGAGCAAAGCAAAACCATAAAAGAGGGGAAAAAGAATAGCAAAACAGAGAGAGCCTGCGAGAGACGTATGGTGATCAATGAATGAGAAAAAGAATTTGACCCTATCAAAACCATAAAAAGAATTGTAATTTTTTTATATTAACTGAGAAATTTTATATTCTTCAGGTGTCTTGAATTATTTATAGAGGTAATTGTCTAAACTCTATCAACACTTCACAACAAAGTAGAGGCAAATATCGATCGCTTTAAAGATAACACGGAGAATATTTATATTCCACTACAATTTCCTGGTGTTATAATTTGCAAGAAAATTAAATATAACGGTGAACTGGTTATTCATATGCTATACTACTATTGTTTTTTCCAAGAGATCACTGAGAGTCAGTTTCTGTTCTTCCCGTTGCCTTGAAGGGCAGTGTATTTCCAGGACAATAAATTGAGCGGAGAAACAAACTCATGATTGAGATGTGAATAAAAGTATTAACAATAATGACCTGAAAATTATGGAAAAATAAACTCGTTCATTAGGTTACTAACTCCGTTAATAAAGCAGGCGAGGTTTCCCCACTTCTAATAAAACATAGAAACTTGGGACCACAAGCACAGAAGCTATACCTATGGTTAGAGTAGTTAACATGTGTTACATCCTTGTGTATTTTCTTTTTTGCAGTGGCAAGATTCCCCAGGGATGGACGAAGATTCAGGGCAAAGGCTACTATCACGGTGGGCAAGGGCAAGGACAAGGACAATGGCAGCTAAGGTATTCAATCTTCTAAATCTAATAAATTCAATTTTCTATAAATTACTTTTATCATACTTATATGACTCTTTATATAATCATTCATTTGAGAAAAAGAATAGCACGAAGTTGTGAATGTGCATGAGGCTTACTTTTCTTCTTTACCTCTCTCTGAATACACACCAATTACTTTATAATTACAAAGAATCTGGATCGCTGTGGAGTTTAACTAATAATTTCTTTATTAATGATTTTTTTTCCCTAGCTTCTAACTGAATTTTCACTCAGGTTGGAAAAGGTTTATCCAAGAATGAGAAGGCACGAAAACTAGCCCTGCGACATTGACTTGAAGTTGTAAGACCTTGAAGCCTTCTCTGTTCTTACCCATTATTCCAATATGTTAGTTAAGAAGAGTACTCTTTATGATCTTTTTTTTTTTTTTTTACCAGCAAATACTCTTTATGATCTTGAAGCTTTTGAACAACAGATTTGATATATATTAAGTGTTGACAATGTCACTTTCTTTTTGTTTATTGCACAGATTGACCCACGTCATCGATATAGTCATAGTCTAGGTCTCTAATATTTGTCATACAACTTGTCAAAACCAACCGGAAACTCCTTTTCTGCTTGCTCATCATTATTCTTCGCCTCAAGTCAAAATCCCCAGTACAGTTTGATTCCATCAGTCCAAATGGCTACAATCTTTTTAGAACCTCGCTCATAATGTTTTTTTTTAAAAAAATCAAGAATGAGTACTTTTACATGTCCAATTTTCTCTATATATTAACTGCTTATAGATTCGCACTAAATCACCATTGCCTTGTTAAAAATATTTGTATTGATACTAATCTCTAGTATTTTTCCATTTGTAAGAAAATTTAACTGACTTCTGATTTATATTATGGACAAAACGGTTATCTAATTGTATACTACTCTATCCCTCATTATAAAATCCTTTTAACTAAATTACGCGTTTTAAGAAAATAGTTAAAATTAGTTAAAAGTAATTAATATGTAGTAAATATAATTTTTTTTTAAAATATAACCCTATATATAGATAAATAAATGTGAGAGAATAATAGTAAGATAAATGAAGAAAGAGAATATATTAAATGCATTAAATTACGGGCAAAATAGGTAATACTGCATTAAATGCTCAGACAAATTCAAAGAAGATCTTATAAAGGGACAAAACCATTTAAAAAATTAGAATTTATAACAAGAGACGGAGGGAACATAATATATGGATAGGTTAAAAAAAAAAAATCAAAACTGTTCACCACCTAGCTAGCAACCTGTTTGACGGTATTTATTGCCATGATGGGATATGGTCATCATCTTCAACGTGCTGAGAGAGGGGGAGTTCGCTGAATGGACTACCGCTGTTCGTATTCTAATTTTTCAAGTGAGCAGAACACAAGTGAGAAGCAGGAGGCCATCTGAATATGGAGCCGAGGGAATTTGCAATATTTTTTTTTATTTTTCTGATATTTTCAAATTTAATTCACTCAATAAATTTCACTTTTTTATAATAAATTAATGTAAATTTATTGTATTATGTCAATTCATTTTTTTTATATTTAAAATATTTTTTATGATTTCTCTAAAATTTTAAAATTTAATTCACTCATTACTTCTTCATAATAAATTATTTTAATTTCATTATATTATGTTAAATTATTTTTTATCATGTTCCATTATTTATTAAAACTTATACCCATTTTGTTCATTTTACAACCAAACTTACTTTCACTCAACTATAATCTAAACAAGCTTTTATCAATCTCACTTTTGCAAACTAATTTTTCTGAACTCCAATCTAAATACAATTCAACTTATCCAATTTAGATTTTACTAATTTCACTTCTCTATAAGCTACTTTTCCAATTGCTGATCCAAACGGACCCACAATCCAATTAAGCTTTTCTTTCAAACAGTTTAGAATCTAAATTTTTTTTTTTGAATGATAGTTACTGGATACACCTTAAAACAAAAACAACAACAGAAATAACAACAAAAAAATCTAATCTCCTGCGTCACCCTCCGCCTCTCGGTATGGAGGAGGAGGTTGAAAATCTAAAATTTTCAAATGATAGCTTCTAAATAGAAAAGAAATCATTTTTTTTAAAAAAAAAAATCTCAGTTAAAAAGTGATCTTTATTTTGGTTAAAAAATGCCAGATAAATTTTATTTGTGTCAGCCGGAAGTGGCCTGGTTTCCCTTGGATTCGAAACAGGGTTCTCCACCTTTTTCCTGTCATTGTTTGTCGCACAACTTCAGATGAAGGCACCTGTGAGGAGGTCTCAATTTAGATGCAGTACTCAAGAGTCAAGACCCACCCGATAAACTACCTGCTCTAATCCGTTTCTGCAATTTTTCTCAGAGATCATGCTGGCCATGGTGCCATAGAATTGAACACGGGGCGATTACAAGTTTCCGATGGCACGCATTTCATCAACCCGTGACTTATGCATGATCCATCCAGACGCGTCTGGGTGTGGCTGGAAGTAGCAGCACTGGTGTTTCGCATGGTGGAAGAAGCAGAGTTATAACTGACGAGGAGGCCGGAAATGAGAGTTTCAGTGAAGCCTGAAGCCGCCGATTCAGGGGATGATTCGAGGAGTTCATCCCCAACATCGATACTTCAAGTTAAAACAGATGCAGACGGAGAAGGAAAAAAAGGAGAAGGAGAAGGAGTAGAAGAAGTAGAGCCATTTGAGGAGTGCCAAAGTTGTAAGAGCAAAATGACACTACAATAAGATTTATGGTTGACTTGTAAAAATATTTCAGGATTGACAAAATATTTTAAAGTGTTGGATGTATTTTATCCTTATAAATTAATACGAATTGCATGCTCTATATCGGTTGCATGTTGGATTTATCAGTCCCGAAATCTTCTACAGCCTGTATGTGTTGAAGATTTTACATGGGTAGTTTTTAGACTTCGACAGGGTTGAGCAGTTTACTATGTCCAGTTGGAGTGAGCAAAAGCAGAGAAGGCCCTCCATTGTAACATTAGAATGCGGCCTGGCTTGATGATTAGTTTTTCTAAGAAGTTACAAGTGGGCTCAAAAATTGATTTTCTCTTTGCTTGTATGTTTTGGGCGAAACCTTAATGCTCTATTAACCAAAGAGTACCAATGCACTTGCACGAAAAGATTATCATCTCGTATGGTTTATTCGCCTTGATGCTGCTGTCCATGTCAAGGGGGTCTGAGCTTGGATTCGAAACAGGGATCTCCACTTTTTTGCTGCCCTTGTCTGTCGAAGAACTTTTTATAATCAGCTGGATCTTCTTACCGATTGCATTACTTTTCTGCTTGTTCATCTTTATCCTCCGCCGCAACTCAGAATCCGGAGGACAGGTTAGTTCCATCAGTCCAAATGGCTCTCATAACGGTGAAGTTGTTGGCGATGTAAACTTCAATGAGGCGATCTTAAACTGAGTTTTGCAGCAACATATTCAAGCAATTGAACCTGTTACTTGAACTAACATGTATTTTATGCTTGTGGATTTTGTTATTTGCAGAGCCAAGATTCGCGAGGGATGGGAGAAGAAGTTACAGGGCAAAGCCTGTCGTCTACGAACAGTCAACAAAATAACCAAGAGGAGCCTTCTTAAGCTGTAAGCGACCACAACGAAATATAAATATTCAGTATTTGGATATAATTCTCTAGTCTCCTGTTAAATGACTCGACACTTATCATCGCTTTCGTACAGATAGATCATTCTCCAAGTAACGGAGAAGCTTCAGATGGAAGCATGGTAGATTGGGACAATCAGCAAGATAATGAATATGATGAAACCCGCTTGTTTTTTCCAGCTGTAAGTGACGATATCCAATATGAATATTCATTCTATTGATATACTTCTCTAGTCTCTCATGCAGCACACACTGTCACTGAGGCAAGAGGATTAGAGGAAAGAGATATAGAACCAGAGAGGAGGGAGAGAGATGTGGGAGGGGAAGAGAGATAGAGCAAGAAAAGAGGACAATGTAGTTATTTCAAAAGGCATCAAATAATATTCAATTCATCAAAAGACATGCAAACGTTTCAGGCTCTTGGTGGACATAGGGCCACAGAGCCACCCTCAACGGCATCGTCATCGACCTTGACCTGACCCATCGACCTTGACCTGACCCCTCTCGAGAATGACATCAAGTTCTTTTTTGGCAGTAAGGCACCCGATATTGATGCCCTCATCTGATTCCATTTGTTCTTCTGGTGTGATTCCAGTGTTATGATCGA